CTTCTCGTCATTTGTCGTCGTCCTCCTCATCCGCTCCTCCTCCTCCTCCTCCTCCTCCTCCTCCTCCTCCTCCTCCTCCTCCTCCTCTCGCCACTCCTTCTCCCTCTCCTCCTCCTCCTCCGTCCGCCTCCTCCTCCTCCTCCTCCTCCTCCTTCCTCCTCCTCTCTCTCCTCCTCTCGTCCTCCTCCTCTTCTTCCTCCCTCTCCTCCTCCTCCTTTTCTCCTCCTCATCCTCCTTCACTCTTCCGCCCTCCTCGACTTCTGTGCGACCCCGTGCGCGCTTCCCCACGTGCCGGGTGCGGTCGGGGCGAGTGCCGCCACCCCAGGCGGGTGCCGTTGGCGCCCAAACCGCCCTTGGACAGCGGGGCGTTGGCTGATGGCATGTTTGCAGAGCTCGTGGCGCAGCTCAAATAGTGGACTGAGATGTACACCGCGTTGGCGGATGTGGTGCAGCAAGCGGCGGCGTCGCCACCGCCAATTGTCGTCGACTTGTCGGACGCAGAGCTGGATCGCATGGTGTCGGCGAAGCAGACCGAGCTCGCCAAGCAGTGTGAAACGGTGGCAAAGGCGGAGAGGCTGTCCTTTGAAGATGCGCAATGGAAGCTCGACAGGCCCAATCAGTCGAAAGGCGTCCTCGCCGAACATGAAGCTGCCCATGCCGAAGCTCAGGGGGAGCTCCACCGGGCGCCCGAGGCTAAGGCAGCAGCGGATGCAGCGAATAACGCCATCAGCCCCAACGAGTTCACGACAGCGAAGCAGCGGGCGGCGGCGCAGGCGCACGCGCGAGCCGCGGCGGCAGGCAGCGCCCGGGCGGCCCGGCCCGAGGCCTCGGCGGCGAGCGCCCGGGCGGCCCCCCAGCCCGCAGCGGCGGTTGCCGGCGCGGGCAATGGTCCCCTCTGCTGCTCCTCGAGAGCTGGCGCAAGCGGCCGCGACATCGCCAGCGGAGTACCACCCGGTGCAGCAGCTGCGCTCCCTGCGCCGCGTCGCATGCAGTGCCCCGCCATCTTGTGGTGCGGCGTCGCCAGCGAGGCCACTTACTATACCGACCTACTTGGAGGCCCGCCTGCGTGGGTTTGACGACTGCCAGCTTGAGGCCCTCGCAGCACACACTACCGTCGACACTGACCAGTGGGAGCAGTTCCGTGCCCACGTTCAGCTACGCGAGCAGCTGCGCTCTGGACTCACTGATGGACGCTGCCAGTGGCGTCGGCAGCGAGGCAGGAGACATCCCTGAGCGCGAGGAGCTTGCCGGTCACAAGAAACGCGCTGCTTGACGTGGCCATGAGGCTTCGGAGGCCGGCTGGCACCAGTCCTCGGCCACCAACCTGGCGGAGGTTCGCGCCGCCGAGCGTGCGAGGCACCAGGGGGCCCGGGCGCGCGACATGTGCCGTGCCTTTTGCAGCGCAGCATCCCCGCTGCTTGTTCCAGGCGCCGCCGCTTCCGCCGCGGGCGCGGCCCCAGCTGGTGGGGCGCGGCCTCTTTGGCATGGACCTTGCCCCATCTAGGATGGCGGACGCACGCGCGCGCTTCACTGGTTGGCCCAAGCTCGCTCAGGACTTCCCAGCCGCGAAGGCTGCCGAGGCCAGTTGGTTGCTCTTGGCAGAGCACCACGCGCGAGACGCTGCCGACCTGTTTCGAGCGAAGAAGTTGCGTCGACAGCCACGCTGGCCACCCCGCTTCCAACGTGCACTTGCCTCTCCTGGTGGCAGGGCCCCCGGCGCCGCCTGCGCGGCCGCCCAACCTGGCGCGTGTATTCGACAGTTTTTGACCCAGACTGGCCAGGTGGTCCAGGTCGGCTGTGCGATATGTGTGTGTGTGCGCGTGTGTTTTCTGTTCCTGGGGTTGCGAGTGAAGTCCTGTACTGTCACCGAGGGGGGGTGTACCTGGTTGATCCGAGTGGAACTGGTCAAAATGTGTGACGTCTTCGTGCTGTTGCTGAGTTTGTGAATGCTTTTGCGGTGCCCTGCGTCATAATGCAGGATCTCAACATGGCGCCTGCACTTCCGGAGTAGGCTGGTTCTCTGGAACTGGTCCGCACTAGAACTAACGCGCCCAGCATTGTGATGATGGTGAAACCACGCGCTGCGTAGTCACGCGTAGTCACGCGCTGTCCACGCGCACGACTGCGCAGGCAGACGCCCGCGCCCATTTCGAGACCCGCGCGCGCCTGGATTGGCCGTCTTGGACCGTCGGCAGCTCGAGCAGACGAGAACTCCAGAAGTGATCCAAAAACCGGAGGCAAACCAGTGTTTTGGGCCTCTCGTCTTGGAGCCATCGTAGGCGTCTTGGGCCAGTCGCTCGGCGATTCGGGATCGTCCAGGCAGGGAGGCGCTGGGGAGCTCGTGCACCCCCCCTCCTCACAGCAGATTTGGGGACCTGTGGGTTCGGATGCATCTCCGGGGAGGTCAAGTTCAGATTTTGGCCCTGGTCCGAGATCCTGCTGAAGCCCGCTGAATCTGGCCAAATCCAGCTTAATCCGGCTCAACCCCGCCTAATCCGAGGCCCACTCCGGCGCAACAGCCCTCCAATGCGGCTTCAGCCTCCTTAAAGTCCTTCCGACGAAGACCTCCCAGCAGTTTCGGGGAAATGTAAGACTGGAGCAAGCCGGCACTCGGGTCTGCCGAAGTGTTTTTGGCGAGCGCGTCCTGGATTTTGACGGTCCGATGTTCGTGGGATGCTTGCAGCGGGGGCTCGCGTCAAATTTTAGATTGGGTCTCGTCATGTTTAGGATGGCCCCGTCAGGCCAGGAGGAGGAGGAGGAGGAGGAGGAGGAACCCGAGTCCCCTGTACCCGAGTCTTACGTCTCCCTGGCAGCTGCCTCCGTAGTTTGGAGAGGGGGGGATGGGGGACAGCCAGTCACTTCAGACGCCCTTTTGCCCCCTGGCATGAAGCCGGGCCTGTCCCCCTACAGGGGGATTTTTCGACGAAAAATAAAAAATACCCCAAGAATGGTCAGACATTCATCCAAACATAGCCTGGGGATTTTTTGGAGTATCTTCTTGGGCTTTTGGGGGGCATTTTGGAGGGTATTTTTTCATTCATCGAAAAAATCCCCCTGTAGGGGGACAGGCCCAACATAACCCTGGCAGGAGGGGGTCGGCGGATGCCAGCACGTCCCCGGGTTCTCCCCCGCGGCCCCGTGGGCCGCGCGCGTTCGCGCCTCGGGCCACGGCTGTTTGCGGGCCCCCCGCTCCTCGGGACGCCCACGCGACCCTCTTAAGTTGGACACGTCCCTCTGCAGGAGGAATATTCAAAAAAGAGTCCAAACATAGTCAGGCACCGATTTGTTTTTTGCACCGCTTTTTTTATTATTTTGGGATGATTTCTAGATTTCTGGAATTTCTTCCGAAAGCGGCCAGTAGGGGGACATGCCCGGCCTAAAACGAACCCGATGCCGCGGTCGTGAATCACTCCTGTTTCGGTTCCGAGTGTCAACTGTCCTGCGCAAGCGTGGGCTTCTCAGTCGTTGGTGTCTCGTCCCCGCCACCTTCCTCCACGGGGTTCCTCGCTGCGCCATTCACACCCACACTCAGGTTGACTGAGCTCCAGGCCCTCACGGTCGGTCATGCACCCGCTCAATCATCACTCAGATTGATTCATCAGGCGCACGCAGCTTAGACTCGTTCATCCTCACACTCGCAGTCAGATTCACTCGTGTCCAGCCAGACATAATTACTCAGAGTCGCTCGTACTCTGATCAGTTCAAACGCATACGCGCTCATACTCTGATTCTTTCGTATCCAAATGTTCAGACTCGTCTCCACTCGTTCACCCTCAGACTCACTCATGCTCAGACACGTGGCACTCAGACCTACTACAGCCATTTCGCTCAGGCCTTTCACAGGGGTGTCGCCCATGGGTGTTCACTGTCCCGTTCGCGTCCGTCTTGGTAGAACGTTCGGACGCTCGTTTTGGGAAGTAGACGTGTTCCTTGCAGAGCGCAAGCATCACCGCGATGCATCAGGCATCGCACTCGGGTCTTCAAGGGGGTCTCGACCGGGGGCTCTCCATTGGCGGCATGGCACGTATGCCACCACCGCGATGTAGCATGCATCGTACCAAGGCGGCGTCGACCACGGCCATTCCACGGTCCTGTCTGCGCCCAGATTGGCGATACGTCTCAGGCAGAACGCTCGTTTTCTGGCGGGGCTAGGGCCGGGACAAAATCGTTCCAGAGCGTTCCGTGACGCTCTCAGAGCCTTCCGGAGCGCTCCAGAACGGCCGCGACGCCCGATACGGCCTCCAGAACCGCCAGATCTCAGAGATCGCCGAATTGTTCCTGTCCGATATTGTCTCTCTCCTGGCTTCGCCATACCTTCTGATACGTGGACGCATCTTCTCTCTCTCTCTCTCTCTTCCTCTCTCTCTCTCTCTCTCTCTCTCTTTTTTTTCGTTCTCTCTCTATAATCTTATCGGCCACCGAGGCGTAGCAGACGTCACCTTCCAGTGTGTCGACGACGGATATTACACAGGCCCACTCGCGCCCAGGCTGGCGGTGCCTTTCATGCAGAAGGCTCGCCGTGGGACGGAGACGTGCCTCCTCCCCACTCGTACTGCGCAGCCACGGGCGTTCCGCAGGCCCGTTCGAGCCCAGACTGGCGGTGCTGTAGAAGGCTCGCCGTGGGACGGAGACGTGCCTCCTCCCCACTCGTACGACTCAGCTGCGGGCGCTCACATTCGCCAATATTCTGATGTGCCCGTGATCAGATTGGCCACACTCGGTTTCGTTCAGGGCCATTCAGCGGTGCACAGTCATGCGTCATCAGACTCACTCTCACTCAGGCGCACGTGCTGACTCATACTCGCACTCACTCGCGCTCAGGCTCGCTCACACTCAGAACCCGTCATACTCAGGCCCGCTAATGCTCATATCCACCTATATTCGTGCTCGCTAATGCTCAGCCGTTCATATTGAGACGCGCATGCACGCACACTCAGACCCTGTCACTTAGACGCACTCATATCCAGACTCACTCGTACGCATCCGCTCATGCTGGGTAACACACTCGGCCCCACTTCTACCCAGACTCGCTCACGCTGAGACTCCCAGAGCCAGACCCACGCTTATCCAGATGCAAGTATCCTTGTGGCTGAGGGCATCTGGCGCAGGAGTTCTGAGCTCAAGGCTGCTCTCGACCCGCGCTCGCTTCTCCGTGCAGGATGGAAAGCATCCTACACAAGGGCAAGGGGAGCACGCTGCGCTTCCCGATCGGCACGCAGGTGCTGTGCCAGACGTCCTACGCAGCGGAAGGGTGGGAGCCCGGGGTTGTGGTGGACCACTGGTACACGCAGGACGGGTTCCCGGAGGATTATTTCGCCCCCTACCAGGTGCAGCTTGACGACGACACCCTGATCTTCATTCCCGAGGATACCCCGAAGCTGTGCCGCGAGAGGGTGCCGGCGTGGTGGGAGAGGGCGTTCAAGACCAGCGGGGAGGCTCCGGCTGCGAGCGAGGTCCTGGCCGCCGCCAGCGGGGCCGACGCGGACGAGCGGAACCACAGTGGCACCACAGCTCTCGCAGCGAGTGCGCACAATGGCTGGGGCGATGTCATGCGGGTGCTCTCGGGCGGGTGGTCATGAGGGGTCAGAGTTATGATGTTCCAACCTACTTTAGCCTTGATCACCAGAAAAGGCTTTCGAGCACCAAGGAGGAACCGAAACTCGAGGGTTTTCACGTGTCGGGCCCTGCGAGACACTCGTCCGACACTGTTTCGACACTGTTTCGACACTTCTGGGTGCTCGATTTTTTTTCTGGGATGTGGTCCTTAAGTAGGATGGGAGCAACATAAGGTCAGAGGAGGAGAGGGTGCCCATCATGCCACTACCCTCCCCTCGTTTTCCTCCCTTTGTGGGCCTGCTGGGAGGTCCTCGTCGCCACCGCTGGATTCGTTTCGAAATCCTGGGCAGAACGCAGCCCAGGAGAGGGGGACCTATGAAGAAAAAGGCCCCTTAAAATGGGCTCCTTTCGGGTCCCTGCTGGCTTCAAAAGGGGCCTCAAAGGGCCCCCTTATAGGGCCGTTCTGTTCACCCCCCCAACAAAAAGTCGGGCCGAGGCATTAGATCGAGGTCGGTTCGGAGAGGATCCCCGAATGTTCTTCGTGTTTGTCTCAGGAGGGGAAGAAACGCACAGACACAATTAATCGTCGACTCCCCAGAAAATATGGGAAAATATGGGAAGTGGTGGGGAAGACACAAAAAACATAAAATATGAGAAACTATGGGGATGTTTTTTTCGTGTGTATTTACTTGTGTGTCCCAGGGCCCCTTCATTCTTGCGCATCCTGGGGAGCTTGGCCTTGCAGGTTCTGTGTTTTCGTGGCCGGCGGAGGGCCTCATGTTCTCGAGGGATGCTCTTCTGGCCCAGGTCCGAGCGCAGCAGGCCACCCACAACTGGGGGGAGCTGTGGCCCTTAACCCCCCTGGGGGGCCCCTCGATGTCGACGCCCCTCTCGAGAGATCGTCGAGGCGATGGGTTCCCCCAGGGGGGTTAGGGCCACAGCTCCCCCAGCTGTGGCTGGTCGGTGTAGGCCACCCCCCAGGACTCATTTCGATTCATCCGATTCGGTTCGATTCGATTTCGATGGGTTCCGATTCCGATTCGATTCGACTTCGGATTCGGGTTTGGGATCCGATTTCTAAACGGTGACCTGCTAGCCTGCCGATTTCCGCCGATTCGATGTTTCCCGACTCGGCTGCCGATTTCCGCCGGTCCGATTTATTTCGATCGCCGATCCGACTTATCGATTCGATTCTGGGCTTTCCTGACCCCCATGACCATGCGCCCGATGCTCTTGGACCTCGGCGCCAGCCCCGGCGCGGTCGACGACAAGGGGCGGAGCCCTCTTCACCTTGCGGTCGCCGCCCGGTGCACCACGCCCGAGCAGGTGCGCGCCTCGGTGCAGGCGCTCCTGGAGGCCCGGGCAGACCCGAACGCACAGGACCGGGATCTGGGGAGGGACCCGGAACTCAAGCAGGGGAACAAACAATGGTGAGCCACGCGCAGAGAGATCCAACGCATTGAAAAAGTCAAGACGGAGGTTTTTCACAGATTTCGGCCTTTGGGGGCCCTCGCCGGGCCTCGGGACCGTCAAAAAACCACTCGGGATGAAAAATTTGCCCTGGGGAGTGGGTCGAGACTTCCGGAGACCACGTATGGGGAGGGGGAGGGCTTCTTAGAAGCGCCCCTTCTTAGTAGGCGCGGACCTCATCTACAGATGTAAGGCCGGCGCCTTCGAAGAAGCAGCCTCCTTCTAAGAAGCCCTCCCCCCTCCCTCCACCCACTTGTGCACGCCGCCAAAATGATGTTCGAAGCAGGGAAAACGGCATAATAGACATAAATGTTTGGCGCTCCGCGCGGATTTCTTGGATCCGCGCTGGGCCCCCCGGCGGCGCTTCCAGCGCCGCCCCTGGCGCGCGCCAGGGAGGGGGGTCCGGCGAAGATCCAAGAAATCCTCGCGGAGCGCCAAAGGTTTATGTTCATGGCGTATTTTCTTCTTCTAGATATAGTTTTCCTATTCTTTGCTTTGCCGATCGGCGCGGGCCCTCGTACCCCCTCCCCCCCGTGGAAGATCTTGCCTGTTTTGGGCGCCTGTTTCACTCAGGTGATATGTCCCCCACAGGACTCACTGTTGCAAACTGTTTTATGAAGCAGATGTCCACCATACAAACTCAGAGGTCAGCACGGGTTCCTCGGGATCGGCGCTGGGGCCCCCTGGCGGGCTCCAGCGCCGATCCGAGAAATCCGCGCGGGCCTCGGAGCTCTCATGTTGGTGTCATTTTTCTAGGCCTCCCAGATGGGGTCGGAGTAGATGGGGCCGGAGGATCGCGCCGCATCGCCGATGCATCGCCAGTGCGGCGCGATGCGGAGTCCGATTTTCTCCACACCGACGTCGCCGGTGCGTCGCCGACATGGAAGATGCATCGCCAGTGCATCGCCGATACATCGCCGATGCATCGCCGATGTATCGGCGATGCGACGCGATCCTCCGACCTCATCATCTCCGACTCGTCTAGGAGGCCTCCACTTGTTTGTTCCCCTATCAAGAGCAAGTCGTTCGAGGAGCGCGACAGGCACCGCACAGCCGGGGGAAGGAATCACACTGCACGGGCCACAAGCCTTACGTCGGGCACGGCCCTCTGCAGGAGGAGTGTTCAAAAATAGTCCAAAAATAGTCTGCGGACGCTTTCGTTTTGACCTTCTTGGGTATTTGGGGGTATTTGTTTTGACTATTTCTGATTTTTCTTCCAACATCGGCCTGTAGGAGGAGGAGGAGGAGGAGGAGGAGGAGGAGGAGGAGGAGGAGAGGGAGGGGGAGGGAGGAGGGAGGAGGAGGAGGAGGAGAAAGGAGGAGGAGGAGGAGGAGCAGAAGGAGGAGGAGGAGGAGGAGGAGGAGGAGGCACCCGACCTGACACAAGCCTTTGGAGCCCCGCGCGGGTCTTTCGGGCCGGTGCCTTTGAGGCCGCCTCCGCCGCTCCGCCGCTGGCGCGCTCTCCGCGCGCCCGGGAGTGGGAGCCAGCGCCAGTTTGGGAGACCTGCGCGGGGAGACCGTCGCCCTGGGGGAAACGGGAACATCCTCCTCCTCCTCTCCTCCTCCTCCTCCTCCCTCCTCCTCCTCCTCCTCCTCCCCTCCTCCTCCTCCTCCTCCTCCTCCCTCCTCCTCCTCCTCTTCCTCCTCCTCCTCCTCCTCCTCCTCCTCCTCCACTCCTCCTCCTCCTCTCCTCCTCCTTCCTCGCTTCTCCTCGCCTCCTCCTCGCTTCTCCTCGCTCCTCCTCCTCTACCTCCTCCTCTCCCTCCTCCTCCTCCTCCTCCTCCTCCTCCTCCTCCTCCTCCTTGTCCTTCTCCTCCTCCTCCTCTACTTCCTCCTCCTCCTCCTCCTCCTCCTCCTCCTCCTCCACTTCCTCGGGCCAAAGCTCTGGCCTCCGGCGTCCCCTCGGGACGACCCAGGCACCCCCCTCGCCCTGCGGGAAGCGCTTCCTGGGGGAAGCGGGCCCCGAGTCCTGTTCGCCGTTTTTTTGGCGGCCTCTCGGGGCTCCTCCTCGAGGCTTGTGTCGGGCGTGTCCCCCTACAGGCCGATTTTGGAAGAATAATCAGAAATAGCCACAACATCTTCCAAAACAGCCAAAAAGACATGATCAAATCGTCCCCATACGATGTTTGGATTCCTCCTGAATGCTCCTCCTGTAGAGGGACGTGCCCGACTGAAGTCTCGGGGCCCTCCCCGAGCCCAAGGGCCGTCGTAGAACGATTCGGGACGAAGCTCTCTCATGCAGTGGAAACCCATCCACAAGAGACCTTTTCACAAGAAACCCAACCCTGAGACCCCAGGATGTCCACTGACTTTTGGTGTGGGAGCGTCACGCTTTTCCACTGCAGAGCCGCCGAAACCTGAGAAGCCTAGGGCACCCTGGAGGCAAGCAGGGCGCTTCTCGGCGTGGGCCTCCCTTGCGAGACGATTCGGGACGAAGCTCTCTTGCTGGGGGACGGCCCCAGAGGCCAGGACCCGCTTCCCACCCTGCGGGAGCCTGAAAGCTTGTGCTCGTGCGGAGGAGGAGGAGGAGGAGGAGGAGGAGGACCGAAGGGGAGCGAGGAGGAGGAGGAGGAGCGAGGAGGAGAGGAGGAGGAGGAGGAGGAGGAGAGGAGGAGGAGGAGAGGAGGAGGAGGAGAGGGGAGGAGCGAGGAGGAGGAGGAGCGAGGAGGAGGAGGAGGGAGGAGGAGGAGGAGGAAGGAGGAGAGGAGGAGGAGGAGCGAGGAGCGAGGAGGAGCGAGGAGGAGCGAGGAGGAGGAGCGAGGAGGAGCAAGAAGGAGGAGGAGGAGGAGCTAGGAGGAGCTAGCAGGAGCTAGCAGGAGGAGGAGGAGGAGGAGGAGGAGGAGCAGGAGGAGGACCGTTTCCCCCCCGCTGGAGCCTGAAAGCTTGTGCTCGTGCGGTGCTTTCTTCCTCTGCTAGCACTGCACTACTGCGCCGCATGGGACTACACGGCTGCCGCGGAGCTGCTGCTGAAGGC